AAGCGATTATCGCATAAGGTTATTTTGCCTGAATGCTACAAGGCAAGGGCATAGTACAAAACAAGTGGACTCGTGGACTCAAAGTTTGACTCAAAATTGGAAAAACATAAAACTGTGGACGTGATTTTATAAAACAAATTCGCAATTCGTAACTTAATACATATAGTGTCGTAACAATAGAGGATAAATTTAAAATGGTCCCTGCAAGCAACAAACCCTTCCTTCTGATACCCCCCATTTAATCCTGGAAAATAATAAGTGCCATAAAATTATGTTGAATTAAAGTTATGAATTTATGTTTTTACAATAAATTAAATAAAATTATTGTTTGAATTTTGAGTCCGAGTTTGAGTCCACGACTCACGAGTTCGGAGTTCCCAGATCTCAGTCCAGTCCTTGTTTTGTACTGTACTACAAGGCAAGTTTCAACATGATCCGAAATCCCCAGATCTAACTTTTTTTTCAGCTCTGAAATCTATGTACTATTTATAGCACGCGTAGGAGTGTTTTATCACATATAAAACACGACGCGTAGCGGAGTGTTTTATATGTGATAAAACACGACTACAAGTGCTTTAAATGGCTTAAAAAACGACTCAGCTTATACGAGTTCATTGGCGAGAAAATCAAAGCTAAAGTTTATGTAAATTAACATGATTTTATATCACATATATAACCACGACACGCTTATGATTTTTCTTTGTGTTTTGCTCCTGAATTATTAATGAGTTTTTTAAATATATATATATATATATATATATATATATATATATATATATATATATATATATATATATATATATATATATATATATATATATATATATATATATATATATACTAGGTGTATAAAAAAGATAAATATTTCCTCCAGTATTTTGTATTTTTATGCACTGTGCAAACATATTATTGTCATTTCAGTCTGGCTTAATAGTTAAAAAAATGTTAATAAGGAACACATAATGAATATGTCCCTCAAGTTTCCTGCTTCGTGTTTCATATTTACCGAAATTGGCTTTGCTTTAACAGTTATGAGAAGGTTTAATTAAATAGTTCACAGGAAGGATGAATTAGATAGTTCACGACAGAGGGCCAGCTCACAAGCTAGTTCATTTGGAGTGTTATAAAGGTATACCATTGGCATTGCTTAGCGAAAAACGGAAAGTTTTAAGGTTTACTTAGACTTAAGTAAATACATTGTATGTGTATAGTTCATGTAAGGTGCAAGGTTAGATTGTGAGAGGAATTGAATTCGCGAAAAAACTACATAAACTATGTCTATTTATACTGAATAACTCTATCAGTGTTGTTGGGCTGTTTTCCTTAGAGGTCCAGCAAAGACAATTTTTTCTTTATCTAATGTTACTGCATAAGAAAATAGGAGAATGCCAAGAAAATCTCGAATATTATCGAATAAAGCACACTTTATAAAGCACACACGTTGATAAAGCACACTTTGATGCTTTTTTGTACTTTGACCTTTGTACTTTAAGTTTTTGATATTGTAAACTATACAAAAACGATTAATACAAACAAATTTTTATTTTGTTATAGCACGTCAAATTGAATGAAAGTTTTCTCAAATACAAGATTTTATCAGTAGAAAAAATACCTACGGGTAAGAGCGCACTTCCTGCTGCGTGGTTTGTCTGTCTGATTTGTACATTAATTGCTGCCGCAGCGAGCGAGCCTGAAGCGAGCGAGCGAGGCAGCAGATCCTAATTTTGTTTTGTGGGTCGAAATCAAAATTTTCTATTTGGCGCATTGCATGACGGTACCAGTGAATTTTAACCGTGGTGCAACGCGGTCAGGCATAAGGCAAACACTGAGGCAAACAGGCGATGTGATCATCTTTCATCTTTGGTCTTCTTTTATGGAAAGCCATAGCTGGCTTAGAGTGATCAAACGGCATTTTGTTGGGTGCTTTTAGCATTATACGGTGGTGCTTTCGGCATTAGACAAGGTGCTTTCGCCATTATACGCGGTGGTTCCAGTATTATACGCGGTGCTTTCACCATTTATATACGCGATGCTTTTGCAATTATACGCAGTGGTTCGAGCACTAATAATATGCGGTGCTTTTAATATTATGCGCGATGCTAGCTTTCATTCAACATTATTTCCATATTCTTTCCATGACATGTATATGATTTAACGATTGCTTAAATTTGGTATGTGGTTGACAAATGCTTTTTGCCTGTGGTCTGCATGGACAATGACATGCTTTTCTGTGTATATAAATGAATATAACGCAGCGAATGCGCCAAACAGTATAAACGCGGCTGAAATACGATATTAAAATCTTAAATGTGCCGTATGATTTTTTAATTATGTTTTAGAATTTACAAATGCTTTGTCATTTGTATTTATACTTGTACTGCATCACAAGGCAGTACGTAAGTGAAAAAATTCCACATGTGAGATTGTCTTGTATACATTTTTGCTTTCTTTGATAAACATTATTAAACACGCAAATTTTAATTAGTGAGACGCAATGTTAAATGTCACCTGCATGTCATTGTCATTGCCCTTTAACCCCTGGTCTAATTGGCCGCTTTTGAAAATGTTGATCATGACGAACCGCACTGCCTTAATTATGCAAACTTTGTGTTTTAAAAACGGGTTAGGATAAAACACGGATAAGGACTCGTTCAACACCCTGTAGTTTGTCTTTTGCTGTCAAAGGCAGCATTACTGCCCTGTGGGTAACCTAGTTCGTATGGTATGGGAGAGTAAACGATAACATGCCAACCGAGAAATATACGGAAACCAAATCCTCCTTTTACAAGTACAAGATTTCAAGCCAAGAATATCTTACTATATATGTGACTGTATATTTTCTGTTTTGTTTATTTTCGGGGCGGTTATACTTATGCGACACTAAACGGACATATTTTAGAAAAGTAAAAATAGGCGCGAGGCGCGTACATATTGCAAGGATGCGTGCCTTCTCAATAGCATCCATGGAGAAAAATTTATTGTTTACATTATAATAAACGAGAGCTGCATGTACGGTACAAAACTGTTGTATATCGGTTGTAAAGATGAGTTGTAATATTGTCTTCTTCGAGCGTTTACGTATGCGCTTAATTGGAGTTCACTCAATTCAGGCTAAATCTGAATAAACGCCAGAATTCTCTTAGAATTAGTTTGTACACTTTCCTGTATATCGATTTAGCCCTAAACATTGTCGTGATCTATAAAACAGGTATAGACGTGAACAAATAAGTATTTATGTAATGCATATTTTAAATTAATCTTCCAGTCTGAGCTACATGTTATGATTGAACTCAAATTTTTTCCTGCTCTCAAAAGGCGTCATTTGAATGCACATACAGTCAACACTATTAATTGGCTTATTTATATACTCGTGTATTTGCTGCGTAAATATGTTTTGTTAACCAATGTCAAGTGGGTTTACTGGCTCATACGTTGCCAGGTCAAAAGTCGCACGTCGTTCCCTATCATTTTAATTCCTGTCTGAGATATAGCTAGATAGCTATTGTCGAAAATGCCACAAGGGAGTGTTTCATGTGGTTTTTTTCAATTTCCACTAAGGTACTGCAGACCTTTTTGAAGTTTACACTGGCAATAGCTTGTATGGATTGCTACATATCATGCACTTCATAGAATCAACTTTTTGGAATCAGCAGGCAGACTATATCCTCGCCTATCAATCACATACGGGTGGCGTGATTTTGATGGAAGATATAAAGCTCTTTCTTCATCAAGTTTCTTTATCAATTATAGACCTTACCGCATATTGACGTTTGACCCAATGGCCTCGTTTTCGTGTCAGGTTCCAAATCGTGAAGGAAACATGAGAATATAACCTTCATGTGTGCCTGTCATGCCAAAACTGGCAAACAGGAAAACGAGACCATATATTGGGTCAAAAAGGAATAAACGGTAAGGTCTAGCTTTTCATTATACATTGTGCTGCAAATTCTGTGAATTGGTATATACCATGCATTTCGTAGACACAGTAGGCAGATCGAGTGGCATAACCAAGACAAACAACCAGCATGAGACTGCCTATCATTGGCCATCAGTCATGTGTATACGTGGCGTGATTCGTAGGCGTGATTTTGCGGAATGGTGCGCATATTTGGTATTTTCTCTTTGAATTTATATCACGTATACTATTAAAAAGTTTCGGCAGTGAAATCACCACAAGTAGAGGAGTTTAAATTTTATTAATTAAAATACTCATTAATAACTCATGACGAAAATGCAAATGAAATTAATGTTTAGTCAATGTTTATAAATCGGATAAAGATTTGTCCTCATTTACATGAACTTTAGCCTGCGCGCAGACTATATAATGACATATATATATATATCATTATATAGTCTGCGCGCAGGCTACATGAACTTCAGCTATAATTTTCTCGGTTTAGACAATTTTTATTTTTAAAATTACTTCGCCAATAAAGATCGGCTGCTCATGTTTTAACTAGTATATATATGTTTCAACATTATAAAAACTGTTTTAATTTAAAACATACCAGCCTTGGATATACTTTTGGTAATATCAGCTGTACTAGTTTCGTTTGTCTAAGCCACTATAAAATCTCAATTCCCTATTCATGAATCCTAAAATTAATCAATAATTCTGAGTAATCCTATTCATACTGGCATGAGAATGAGCTCTGAAAACCGGGCAAAAACACTGCGTTCAAACAGTCAAACACAAGTGTTTTTAAATAAAAACACCCACAAGCCATTTATAATCTGAATCTCTCTGCCTCGTGTTTTAATACCGCACGATCAAACAGTCGATTGGGAGAGCTGTACAAATTCAAATTCAGATTAAGCGCATACATTTATATTCATCATTTATTTTTCGATGCCGCTGTGTTTCAATTCTGTTTCGTAGTGATTGTCAGAGGGATATCAGGCTAAAACTGTCTAAAATTATTAAATTACTTTCGAGCCAAGGCCAAATTGGAAAGTTCCGTTCTGGACTTTCAACAAACGCAAGGGTGAGACTGAGAGTTGATGTTCCACGTACTCTTGCTGCGTCTTCCTGCCAACTCTCATGGACTGTCATCAATTGTGAGCTGGTTCAAATTTTGATCAGTGTTGATGAGAGTTGATGCCCGTTGAGTTTCTCACTCGTGCAAACTCTCTCTTCTCAACTCTCATCAACTGTCATCCGCATTTGACCGGGGCTTTAGTTGTACAACTTTCGTTTTACAAACATTTCAGGTACTAGATATTACCAAAGAGCGGGGACAAGTGAAACTATCGTTAACGTTAGCTGAAAAATTATGACTGATAAGTTATAAGTAAGTGCGTGTTAATTAAATGGGCCACATGCTTTCCAATCTCGACTGCGAAGGCCATTTGCTAATTTTGCTTGGCTACTAACTACCTACAATATGTTCCAAAACCTACGTTTCTACAAATGCTACAATACATCGGTACTATATTATATGGATCATCGTTCTTGAAAATAGTACATAAAACCACATAATACAAAATACAAACGTACAAACTTACCTTTCAGTTTTACATTTCCTGATGCCACAAGGAACGCTAATATAGCAATAATACAGGCTAGTATGCTCAACAGCAGGGTGAAAATCTGAACACAATTTGTGCGTTGTTTGCGCGCACCGTTGCCGCACGAATATCTGTTTGGCGCACCAGTTTTAGTATCACGTATGCCTTGGATTGTGAGCGTTTTGGGGGAATCTATATCATCATACACAACGTTCTTGCTGAAACGTGAATTTCTGAAGCTTTCTTCATACTCATGGTCTACATCCCTAGACGTTGCGCGTACAGGATTGTCATAAGCGAAACGTGGGATGACATTCCCTGTGTTCGTTACATATGAATAACCCGTATAACATCCCCCATTTAGTAATGCTTCGTCATTTGTTGTTTCATAAATATTATTCCTTTTAGAACGCCGTCCTTTGCCTTCTGCCGATTCGCGTCTTTGAGTTGTATTTGCGTTTAATTCCAAGCACAAGGGCGATTCGTAAACAGGTTCCGTTTGATATGGGGCTGAGTATAGTTGTTTTTGAATTTCTGGACAGTGTGGTACACTCCCGATATCGTCGACGTCGAGTTCGTATGTTTTGTTAACACTGGTTTTCGGCGCATTGTCCTCCGTCATTGTTTTCGTATATATAAAGTGTATATGGTTTTGTACTTTGGTTTTACTACGACTAAAAAGTCGTGCGTCATTCATGAACGTTTGTTTGTCATTTGGCTGGTATCAGATATGTGCAATATATTTTGACACTCTGTCGGACGTCATGGTATTTACTGCAGGCATAGAGCATTTCCTCCCACCCTTTAACGACCCTTGATCTGAGCTTTCAACTGATCTCAATTAGTTACTGATTCTTTACTGCAGATTTACCACCGTTTTGTGTTTGAAAGTTTGAAACGTAGGAGAGCCTGCCTCGCAGGCTAGGCAGCGAAAAATTAGGGACCCCCTATGACCGCCAACTATACTCAGGCTATATGGTCAAAACGTCGAGAAATTAAAAAAGAAAACAGATTATATCAAACTACCACTTTTCTATAGGAAATCCATTCACACCTTATCCATTTTTGGGGGGCTAACTCCCCCGTGCATCATTTTAGGGGGCCCAAGGCTCCCCTGTCAAACAAGCATTATTGTTGTTAATTTCAAGTATGAGTTAGGTGTTGTTTGTTCAATTAACACCATAAATATTGACAATATTCAAGGGGAAAGGGAGCCGTGGAACATTCATCTCTTTTGTTTAAAATGTCCCAAGTTGAAATACCGACCATAGTCCATAGGAAGTTTTATCGGGGCGCGCTAGAAACAAAATTAGTTGCAGTATTGAGGCAAGGACCAAACCATCCAATCAATTTAGCACACGCTAATTGTCCTCACCTTTCTAGTTGCGTCACAGACGCAAACTCAGTGGGCGTCACAGGGCCAAAAGGTATGCACGTGGCGTCTGTGTTTATATAGTGCCTGGCTGCCTGCATGTACATATAAGCACATTGCATGCATGTACGTAATTTTTGCATGTGGCCATATCGGAAATCGTCCGTACTTGAAGTTTGGACTTCGAACTACCATTACTATTTCAAGTCATGTGACGGCCACACGCTACTTTGGTGGAAATTCCTAGCCTCCTCCGCAGGCATCTCACCCGACGAATCGGGTGGTGGGAAAAAATATTTTTTTCAGAGGCCTGCGGAGGAGGCTAGGAAATTCCATTACTGCAATATGTAACTATAGGTGTATTCACTTTTTATGCTTGGCAACTATGTAAAACACCGTAGGAGTTTGTTTGTGTACTCCGTCTTTCTTTTCAAATAACGAGGACCAATAATGCAATATATATGAGAAGGCTTTTACTTCTCTTCTAGAGAAAATACTTTTAACGATGGAGCTATACCCAGTATTCAGGTCTTACAGTATGGCGTATCATCAAAAATAATTCGCCAATTTGAGTGGTAAAAATCTTTTATTCAATAAATAAAGTTGATTTAGTTTATACCAAATGACATAGGACTGTAGTCCTGAAACACATCTACAAACAAGTATTTTCATTAAATGAGCTACAGTTATTTATATTGGGTTAATGCATTAATGTTATTTAATTGTTGTTGTATTATTAATTAGATTAAACGTTTTGATATTATAAATTATACAAATTTACAGTTTTAAAAAATATTCATCTTCATTCTCCAACGGGGACGTAGGCAATCGCATCTATATTTTCTATATTTCTTCTGTGGAGCAGCTTAAACATGAAGAACGACAACTCTATTGGAGTATTGACGTTGCTATTGTTTTGATATATGGGCCGACTTGTGGGCCTTGTGCTGCTGTGCATATATTTCCAATTTCATTAAATTATGCCGCTTATTTTATATACCATTTCGTCAATAGCGACGCCATCTTGGACCATGGTGCAAGTGGGCTATTTTGCACGTAGAATAAGTCAAAGGTGAATTGCAAAGGGCGCCATCTTGGTCGATTTTTCCAAAATATGAATGCATTATATTTTCTGCATTCCTGGTTATATAAAACGAACCAGGAAATAAGCCCCGTTTTCACTATACGCTCAATTTTTGGTACGGCACGGATAAAATTGGTACCCGTACCATATTTTTGGTTCTTGGACTACCTATTTAGGTAGTCCAAGAACCAAAAAAGTGGTACGGTACCAAAAATCGAGCGTAGTTTAAACGGGGCTATAGTTAATTAGTCTAACTACTTCTGTACATCACTCAATGTAAGGGCTAAAAATCCTAAAACCACTGATGGCTAAAATAAACTATGGAATATAATAAACCAAGATGGCGCCCAATCACTTGGAATGACGTCACTTGCGAACGAAGAATTGTCGTGAATTTGACGATATTTCAGAATATCACGTGAGTTCTGGACATTCCCAGTAAATTATGACACAATCTACCTTCTTGCTGTTGCTTTGAGCATCAATTTCAGTTGGTTTAAACAATGAATACGTTGACTCCCCAGCGCATGTGCATTTATATTGGTTGTTTTCTATTGATAAAACATTATGTACTGCTCCAGCATCTACTCGTGTTGAACAAACGGCCGACATGACCTTCCAGCCCTAAATAATAGAACCATATTTAGAAATTTTTAATTTATCCATTACGAAACATGTGGATATGATCAAATCCAGTGGTGTCTAAATTACTTTGAATTTGTACTCGAGTAAAAGTAGAAGCAATTAACAATAAAACGACTTGGGTAAGAGTAAAAAGTACTGGAAGCAAAACGTACTTAAGTAAAAAGTACAAAGTATCCTTAAAAAATACTTGAAGTACAAAGTAAAAGTACTATTGTCTGCAGAATGGGGGGGATTATCTAATTGATGGATTGAGATGAAAAAAAAAAAAAAACAGCACATGCACGCATTATAAATATACAATATTTCACGGCATGGTCTACTTTCCAGACCCCGTTGAAGAAATAAGAAATCCATTAAATAAATAATGCTTATAAGCAAGCCACAAACGAGAGATCCCAGACGCATGTAGAGGTCGTATTACCTATCCCAAAATTAAAATAAATCAGGAATAAATTACGTAAAATTAAACAAATGTTTCAGTAGAAAGTAACAAAATGCTTCGCCACAAAATGAAAATAACGAAGTAAAACGTTACTTCTTAAAACGACTTCGTTCCAAGTAAAAGTACTCCAGAAAAAGTTCACTTTGTTACATGCTCACTTCTCAAAAATAGTACTCAAGTACAGTAACGAAGTACATTTACTTTGTTACTTGACATCACTGATTATGCGCTTTACATCAAGTATTATACGCTCATCCAATTGCTTCATTAGCCTTGACTATTTTTTCTTTTACAACAATTGTGATATTACTTTATTAACTGTGTCAACTTTCCCTGTGGGAGAAAACCAACCGAATTACTTTCGACATATATACATGCTTGTTTCACAGGCATCAGTCAATTTTGATCGTATAGAGAAGATAGCCGGTGACTAAACTCGTCGGAAAATTCCCTTTCATGAATTCGAATTAAGTTAATTAAATAAAAGTGATCAATTGGGACCGGTTGTTTGAAGCTGTTTAGTTTAATCCTCGGGTAACGGAAACAAACTTTGAGATATAACCTTGAGATATGTTTTTTACAGAAATCTTATCAGGCTGGACTAGAAGTTTTATTTTCTAAAGTTTTGAAATAGAAAGACGTGCAGAAATACAGAAAGTAAAACGACAGGGGCCGGTTGTTCAAAAGCCGATTAGCTTCAAACCCTGGGTTAACCTGAAATTCAAAGCAAACTTCCTGACAGCTTGTTTATAAATTTGGAAATATTTCTTTAGAAATCTTGTGTGGATCGATAGGAGTAACCCAGCACTACTAATTAGCGCTAACCCACCTTTGAACAACTAGCACCAGGAGTTAAATTTTAATTAACCCAGGTTTAGCGCAGTTTTGAACGTTGCATGCACGACGGCCAGAAATATAGTATAGCAGTATCCACCTGAAACTAATTTTTTATCCTTTGTAAAAATTGGGTGAATACGAAAGTTTATAACCTGAGTTATACTGGCTAATAAACGACAATTTGAAGGCCATTTCCACTCAAGAAAATTTTCCATCATTGTTAAAAGTTGAAAATTTTCAACTTCAAAAATTTTTTGCGACGAAAAATTTGTGTCGGTCAATCACATTTTACAAAATTTTCTTTCTGCGGAAAATTTTCCTGATTGGAAATGGACCTTTAAAACTACGGGTTTCCGGAATTTATACCAGGCAATCCATGAATCCGGGTCCTTGAACAGAATTCAAATAATTATTTTTATTAATATTAACTATTATTTTCTATAGTTATTTACTCGATTCAATGCAGCCCTATAAGTAAATATTAATTATCAACGTTTCCTAACAGAATGTTAATGTTGTACGTACCGGTCTCTTGTCATAAGAAACTGTAACCTTTCCTAAACCTTGGAATGCTAGTGTACCATGTACAACCTTCTCATCAACGATGCATGCAGATAAGTTTCCAACACCTTGTACTCCCATGGGTCCCTGTAGACCTGACAAACCCTGGGGACCTTGAGGACCTTGTGTTCCATTAAAACCACGTGGACCCATTTGTTTGCTGATGTTTCTTAACTGCATGAGAGAAAAAAAATGAAAATATTTAAGTACCATTTAAAACTGACATGAGCAGCAATGTTTTATCAGATATCCGAGTATCTTTAGGTCTGATAGAGAGGGTCAGCTGATAAATAAGCACTACATGCGAATGTTTTAAATTGCTTCAAAAACGATCGATCTAGTATACTTTCATTGGCGAAGTAATTTTCAAAAAGTAGGTTGTGTAAGTCCAGAAAATCAAAGTTAAAGTTTATGTAAATCAAGGGAAATCTCTATCCCATATAAAGTGTTTTCCTCATGAATTATTAATGATTTTCGAAGTGTACTTATCTATTTATAGAAGAACATTTCTGGCCCGTGACATACAGATACTTAAATTGAAATTGGTTGAACTGATAGTCTTTCTAGTTATATTATTGTGGAAATTTATCACTTCATATAGTTTAGTAAACCATGCAAAATAATAAAGTTCTGTGGTATTTTTAAAGTTTGAAGAAAGTTTTTTAAAAATATGGGTACATTTGTAGAATGGCTGATTTTCGATTTGTCTACAACCTGTCGTCATCGTTGCAGTTGTTGTTATCGTTCAGTCTAAAAGCAATCTGGATAGAATTTCCTGGTTTAACCTAGAAATAATACTGCTGGGTTAACCTATAATATTCCTGGTTAACTGATTTCTTGGTATAGTTTATCTCACTTCCTACCACAGCTATATTTGACCAGGACGTTCTTGTTAAATACCCAGACTATGTTAATAGGTGGACAAATAACCATGCAGGGTTCTCTGTTTTCTGGACAAATTAACTATTAATAGAATATAGTAGAAAAAAGGTTAGTGAAATAACCCAGACATTTTACCAGGAATTTTAAGTTAAACCAAATATGGTTGTTTCTCTGTTAACCAGGAAAATTTTAACCATGATGCAATTTTAACTATAGAGTGTTAACCAGAGTGTAATTGATGTTGGTGGTGTTGATGCATGGTGGTGCTGTTGTTTTTTTTTAATTAATTATAAGCAACAAAGCCACTGAACAATCAATAGATGTGAATGGCCGGATCTATAATAGAACACGGAGGAGTGCATGCGTGTAGTGAAAATGACATCACTTACCTCTTCTATATCTTTACTTAAAGATGAAACATTGTAGTTTACGTTTTGTAACTATAAATGAAAAATATAGTAAATCACTTTAACAACTCTAAGTAAACTCGTATAGTATAGGACTATAGGTTTTCCCATCGTTAATGTTAGACTGTAAATCGAACTTTGTTGCGAACTTGGCCTTGGGCAATTGTATAAAACTCTTCAGTCAGTAAACCCCACTCGTTACATTTTGATTATCTTCTTGGTCAGCATAACCGTCGCACTAACTAAAGTTAACTTTAACTCTATTGTGGATACAACCGACCCCCATTCTGTAAACAATATTCAATAAAGCCTCTTTCGGAATATTGTAACGAGTTGGGAACTTTTTGCAAAAGTAAGAAGATATGCAACTACATGCATGCATTTACATTAAATACCTTTATATGTAACGTTGAGTTGATGGTTTGAATCGCAGTCTTCAGTTGTTTTTGTACCATATTCGTAGTCTCATTTGTTTGGGTACGCTGCATTTAGTGTAAAAGAATGAATTAGTTGACAATTATGCGACAAGTTTCATCTCTACAATAACTTTTACAACGAGTTTGTTTGTCGTTGTCGTTATTTTGCCGTTCTAGGGTGTAGTGGAACGGGAGAGGGGATTTTAGTTATTTCCAACAATAATAGTTTTAGTAATTACTAGTTGATCTCTTTGATCCTAACATTAAATAGTTTATGTAGCTTTAACATCAAAATTCAAATCTTTTTTCCATTTGAAAAACACCGAATAAGTGCTAGAACCACAAATGAATACTGGAATGTTCCATGCAAGTTTTTATCATGTTGTCAACCCCCACGCCTTAACAATAATCCCTCTCTTTCGAGAACTCGCCCACCCCCACCCCCTCCCCGCTCCGCCTACATCGCAAGGCTTCTCTCTTGCGAATGCGGAACCAGCATGCAAGGATCAGGAATATATTTGCGCGCATGACTATATGATGTGTCACTTTCGCTCACAAAAGGCAACGATTAGTTTTTTTTGTTTCGCCCATATAGATTTACAAGAGTATAGTCGGTATTTTCATAAAATAATATAAACAGTAAGGTCTAGAGGTTTACTAGAAACCTAAAAGGTACTTCTTTGAATTGAGACCCCCAAGCCTAATAGTGAATTTTTAAAGAAAACTTTTCGATATAGTGGTGCCGCATGCAATGGAATCATCTTTCTGAGGATTCAAAAAATTCTGAAACCCTTTCTTCGTTTAAAAGAAAAATACTTCAGGCATGAACACCTCCTTTGGATCTCACCAATTGTTAAGTTTTTATATAATTCCTTTTCTATTATCCTTTGCTTCCTTGTTTTTCTATATAGTTTAACTTGTATATAGTTTAATGTGCATATATTCTTTAATTTGTAAATAGTTATTGTGTGACGCCCCTCATGAAAAGCAGCTCACGTTGATCGAGGCTATAGCGTGTTTAAATAAAGTTTTACCATACCATTATAAGTTAAATTAAGTTTATATATAATAAAGTTATTTACACTCAAGTATTATTATAATTATTATAATTATTATTATTATTACACTCAAGTATTATTAGTATTATTATTGTTATTTACACTTTACAGGACCTCCCTGAAAAACACTTCGGTGAGTGGAGCTTCCTGATTATATAGTGGAGCTTCCTGATATTATTATTATTATTATTATTATTATTATTATTATTATTATTATTATTATTATTATTATTATTATTATTATTATTATTATTATTATTATTATTATTATTATTATTATTATTATTATTATTATTATTATTATGCAACTCGAAAAAGACAAAAATATCAAGATCTAATTAACGAACAGCTCAAAAATTATGAAAAAGTGAAATTTGTAAATTTATCGATTAGCTCATTAGGAGTTTTCAGCCACCCGTCGCTAGATTTCACCGAAATGCTGAAGGATCTAAAGTTTGATGAACAATGTAGAAAGTACTATGTTCGGAAAATTATTAACATATGTATCAGGTCCTCGTATTATATATTCTGTAAGCGTAACAAAGAATGGGATAACCCACAACTAATGTCATACTAATATTGTTATTATGTAGAGTGTTAATTCAAGTAGACACTGGTACACTACCTGTAAAGAGAGGTTTATCATTGTAGTGTGTATATATATATTATTGAAAGTAATAAAGTTTCCATTATTATTATTATTATTATTATTATTATTATTATAAGTATTCTAACAAAAGAAGAAATAATTATAAACACCCATATCTCGAAAATTGTTATATCGCAACATATACCTTTTCCTCTTGGATCCGTTGTGTTCTCTGAAGATCGTCCAGAACCGCATTCATCGTGTCAAGTCTAGCAAATATCTCTCGAAAGTTTTTCGCAAATTCATTTTCAACATCGTTTAGTCGAGATGTGTAATTGCCTCCTAAACAAAAATGATGAAATTTAAGGGCAACTACAAACCTTTAAGTTATGTGCGGAGTGACACAAAAAATTTTGGTGTTTGGTTTTATAATTGACTTAGCGTAAGAAGCATAGTGGTGATTTTTTTTGTATGTTACGTAACACGCGCTCAAAACTAATGCGTATAATATATCACTTGAGGTTAATATGACTATAAATTCAAAATTTTTATTTTTCGATACGTTTCTCAATCGGCAAACAAACTTAAAAAGTATCGGTTTAGTGTTTTATCTGTAAAATAATGCTAAAATGAAGAGATTTTAGATGATACGCCAAAGAGAAAATGATGTCTGAAGTTCAGTAAGTTTTGCTTATATGGCTGTAAATATGGCGTCAATTTTAAAGCAACATGATTGATAATTGTATTTTGATTGACAATTTTTGACTATTATTTTATGTTTCTCAACCGGAAGATGCATTTAAAAAGGTAGCTAACTCTATAAACTAGAGAATAAAGCTAAAACAAAGTAATTTTGAGAGGAACGCCAAAAAGATTTTAGGTTTTGAACACTTTTCATTGCGAATACGTGACATTGAAAAAAGTTGCCTCTTAATTAAATAAAAGTTCGTTCAAATGCACTGCATTATAATTGTTAGAAAACAATACCCTCCATAGCCAATAACTCAAATTTAAATATAACTAAAAAAATAATTGCCAATTGTATTAATTGTTTTCAATTCATATAAAGGAACTTTCTTCTGACCATGAGACATTCCGCCATATAAAACACAGGTCGAGTCCGTTGCCAAAACACTTCAACTGCTTACAGCATACTCGGCCTATTCCATAGGTCTGTTGCTTGGTAATCAAGTGTTCTCTCATTTGTGTGGGCGAAGAACAAAACATCTTGCATGCATTTTTACTCTATGCTTAGGTGTGGTAGATAAAACGTGCGTTGCGTGCATTGTATATCCTGGCAAGATGACGATACACGATTATACGCCCTCACAATCACTATTGAGTGTATTCAAATATTGGAAATCATATTGATTATCGGATTTAATTGAATATTATACATTACCTAGATTGGATTGTATAGATTGTATAATATTTAAAATTTATATAACTTAAGTATATACTATATTTAAAACACTAGCAGGAGTACGTGCTTTATCAGACATGAAACACGAAGGCGAAGCGACAGCCGAGTGTTTTATATCTGATAAGTGATAAAGTGCCGGCATGGACTGCGAGTATATATTTATATATATATTATTATATAAAGTATCAGTGCTTTATAGAGATTTCGAGCACTGATAAAAGTGATAATCTCACATGTGAGATTATTCAAGATAATCTCACATGTGAAAATTATCGCTTTTCAATTATTGCTTTTCTGTAAAAATTATCGCTTTTCAAAGACTGTCCTTTATATAATAAACAGAAAAATACATGGGTGCTTGGAAATACCAGATTTATTTCTCGTGTTAATAAATCTGGTATTTCCAAGCACCCATGTATTATTCTCTATATAATATATAGTGATAATAATGTAAACTTTATTTATTGATTATTAATTTATATATATTGTAGATGGTTGCATCGACTGATTATCAGTTTTTAATGAGAATTGTATAAATTGAGTTTTTATTTTAAATGAACCAGACTCTACTAACTTAGTAGGAAAACCGTTGAAATATAACTACAAAATTTAACCGGGAATGTTAATCCAAATAGGGTTATTTTTACGTTAACCAGGAAAACTAAACCAGACGTCCAGAGTATATGGATATAGATAAAGTACATTATAGACGAGGCCTGTATTCTAAAAGCTCACTCACACTCACACTCAATGAGTGGACGTTCAATCTGAGCTTCTCTTGAGTGTCAATGCTGTTCTTGAATAGCTGGAGGGTGAGTAGTCGCATAGTAAGATACGACACTAACCTTCCAGCTATTCAAAAACAGCATTGACACTCGAGAGAAGCTCAGATTGAACTTCCACTCATTGAGTGTGAGTGTGAGTGAGCTTTTAGAATACGGGCGTTAGTAATTGATCGCATGCGTTCAGCCTGACTTTCCCCCCTTCTCCATCGGAAAGTCAGGCTGCACGCAGGCTATATCGTCTTGTCGATCGCATGCATTGTATACGAATTCCTAACTCGGGATTTTCCGCACTGACCATGCAGCATATAAGTTGTCTAATATATGTATATGCATGCACTACAGTCTACGTACACCACCCTCGCCTATCAAAAACTTTTAATTGCGTGTTTTCTCTCAGCCTTGCATGTATTGTCTATTGAGTATTGTCGAGTTGAAACCGGAAAAGTGTAGCAAGCAAGCACTTGTAAGTTTGTTTACCGCCTTCTATTAAGCACGAGACTGGTCGAGACCGCCACCAAAATAGATTCAGGAGGGCAAAGCATGTTTTAATATTGTGGTCAGTCTGTATGTAATTATGTAGACCTGTAACATAAAATCCCATCCCCTAACTTTTTGGTAAAATAGAAATGTAGGATCAGCTAAACTCCGAGGGGGGAATTATATCGAAATATTTTTAGATTAGGCGGTCGCCGCGACAGTCGAGTGTTTTCTTCCTATATTATATAGCTACGTCATTATAATAAACTCGAAGCAAACATTCGGCGTTTTTTCTTAAATGAGCAAACAAATTAACCTATTTACTTGTTATATTTCGTGTTAAACACGAATTTCATGTTCATACTATATACGGAAAAGCCTAAATAATTGTGAATGACAACTTAATTCACTCAGAAAAAATCTTCTATATATGACCTAATAATAGTTCTTTCATTTAACGCATGAATGCAGATTACTTTTAATGTCGCTAGCAACTTCGACGACGTGGACATGACGATGTCCATATTTTGCAAGTTATTACAGATTTTTGTGAAATTAGAAACTCTTACCACCCAAAATTTTTCACCCATATTATCTTTCTAATTAGGATCCAGTTAATTTTCCGTGTGCTTTCAGTTTTTTGTTGGGGAATGACATTTTTGAAATAATTGTCGCGTTTTCTTTATATCATTATATGCTATTTCCATACAAGCATTGTTAATGGAGTTTACTATTACCATATAATTGATGCTGCTCAAAGACATATAGTGTTTGTATTTTGTAGATCTTGTAGGATTTTGAACCACGGAACCAATTACAATTAAACAAATTTTATTTAACAAAATGTGTATACGGAAAATCATGTAGTTACAATCGAAAAGGAATATGAATGAGTACAGCTAATGATTTCCTCTGCGCGCGGTGACCATGTACATAAAAGTTATTGACTAGGGTAATTTCACTTTCAGTTATAAAGAGATTGAATCGAAATTTAAATTGAATGGCACAACTCTTTTTTCTTGTGTAAATTATAAGCTATATGTAATATGGTCAAGGAGATTACAGGTTAACGGTAATATAGTGTTTAATATCTTTGCATTCCATTAGTAAAGTCATTGTGATTTAATGTTCATATTGCATGATTTTTTAATTGCGAGCACATTAAACATACTCTCGAGTTACAGGGTCAGATTCACCAATAAACAATTGGTTGAGCCAAAATCTACCTGGAAACAAAATTATCCTATCATGAAATTATCAAACCCGTCATCGATTAGTAGTTATTACGTTCATTGTAGTTACTCTTCTTTGGTTAAGTAAAATATTTTGACAAAAAAAACCCATAAAGCTCTTTGTTCTTCATGAATCTTCTATACTCCTTACTATCATGAAAAGTATAATTTTTACATTATAGCAGATTCATTCTAAACTTATGTACCAAATTGATACATTTTTGAAGAATGTTAAATGCTAGGTGACATCGTGAGATTTGAAATTCTGTTTCATTTCTTTGATCGAGCCATTTGATAATACTCAAATAAGTAGTTGCTATAGTCTTATAAATATCGACAACGTATATATAGGAATCATTCATCTTTATCAAATATATATACATATGCCGATCCATATACGAAACTACATCTTCGCTTACCTTGAGTTAGCTGCTGTGTTTGTGGTGAGTTATTATTACACGAACATTCCTCATCATTGAAATAAGCCAATACTCCAAGAGGTGTGCCAACGAGACAGATCACAACAAGTATGCATAGTATAAGAAATGGTAACTTCCATCTTGTATTATTAGTATTCTTCGCTATACCACTCCAGTCTTCAGCTGGACGTGGCGGTAAATTCGAAGCTCGGATTCTAGGTGGTTCAGGCCGTTTCTCGCTCTTTGGTTTTTTCTTATAACCGGCAGCCTCATAGACGACATTTTCTTTCTTCCTACGGCCTGTGCCGCCCAATCCAGCTTTTTCTACTACTTCAGCGGTGTCCTCATAGTGTGGATTCGTTTCAACAAAAGATTCAGGTTCAAAACCACCATTTTCCATCGGTTTGCCATTTTTTGTCGGCTCACCACCACCAAATGTACTAAAAGTCAAATCATCTGTGCTAATAGCGTACGGATTAAACGCCAGATTCGCGTAATCTGTCATGTTGCTGTCTTCCGAGACCGATTTCTTCTCACTAGTCATGCTGTATTGGTTGATATTGGTTTATATGTGTATACTTTGCTTAATCCTCGCCACTGCGGCTTATTTGTTATTGTCACAATCTAAGGCTCTTTCTACGTTCCTTCCTGTAAGGCTAAAATGTTGCAATCACCATATTAATTGCTTGTAAATTTGAATAAGAATAGAAAAAAACACAGTAGACTCCCACCTATGAGGCTTAGAGAGTGAATTCAATGGAATCTATTATTTATCCTCTGTATTTCTGTACAATGAAACTCACCTTGGGTTACCATGGTGAAAGTTTGAGCCTTCCTTCATATTTTACAGATTGGAACTGCTTTTAGACACATGTGGCAACTGTCTTGATGAAATTATTGCATCGTAATTCTCCGGTAATGAATTAAGTTCAAGTATGTTTACTTATTTGCAAGTTAAGAACTTTATGTGCTTAAGGATCAATATTTTACAATAATATATGCATATGTATGCATTCATTGCACGAGGTCGAACATATATCAACAATTACTCAGACCGCAAGGACAACTAATCCCGAATCGCCTTGCCAAAAAATTTTAGTTTTCATGCCCAAAATTATTTTTATAAGGTAAAAAATAAAACCTTTTGTAAATTTCGCAGTGTTGGAGGCCTGGCACGACAGCGTACAATAATAGTTTTCTGGATAGTTCCTCCCATTGTTAAACGGAAATGACGTGACCACACCTAGACATTGAAATTTTGCCGGGTAATTCTGACTAATAGGGAACGAGAATAAAGTTTGAATGTATAATGTATAATAATTAATTAACAAACTTGTTTCAAATTTCACTATGAGTAATGAATTTTATGATAATTTTTATGACTTTTAGCTTCGCCGGCCGTAATCGAAAATACCTCATTTGTAGTCAATGTAGTCAGTCAATGTAGTAGTCAATGTAGTAATCAATGTTCTTCCAGTGATGTATAATTAAGTAAACAAATACTTGAGGGAATACATGATCAAGCAACCAGTGAAAAAGAACAAGAACTCAGACGTGAAGGGCCTTTTATTTCTAGGTAGTTTTAATGAAGTATATGTATATCACAACTCAATTGTTCGAATTTCTTCATATTTCGAGTTCCAACACAAAGTTCTGTAAGGACTGCACATTTGCACGGAAGAATCTTCTTTACAATAAAACACTTTATAGCCTTTTGGATTGGGCAAATATTTGCCTTACAATCAGGAAAATATTAAAATATTCAATCAAAGGTCTTAGAAATTCATTTTCTCCCGGAAAACGCGCACTCCCATGGCACTTTTGCTCTAAATTTCAACACCAACGCATAGAAACGAGGCATATTTTTACATACATTCCAGGTTCCCACGGACAGTCCAGGTCTCCATGGACACGAAATTTTCCCGCTCCCTACTCCTTTAACCGTTACAGCAGTCGAAATACAATACATTTGGTCATCAGTTGAACACAAAATGAACATTAACTTGGATTATATAGGTTACTGTTAGATAATGTACAATTAGATTATTGTAAATTTGTTTTCCTTTGTTTTATGCTCCAAAGATCTAATAACATCATATACGGAAACAAAATCAGTCAAACATAAAAATCAAGTGAGCTTGTACCCTTTTGTTCTACATGAGATTTCCGTTCTCATTGGGCTAAACGCAGGACACCTATATGTTGTCATTTGACAATCATGCCGCCCCAGCCAAACTCCCACCTTGATAGTGTATCCATTAGTGTACGAGGTAGGGGGCTGGGTGGGGGGGTGCAGCTTCTCCAATTAATGTTTGGTCGGGCAGATTCTACTAAACAATTGGGCAATTTATAGCAAAGCTAGAAATTTTATTCAATAAATTACTGAAGATATTATTTCAGTCGTTGCACATATTTATGAAACCACAACAAAGAGACAGTCTCTTTCCGTCCAAAATTGGCGAGCTCCCACAAGAACATAATTCATTTTGTATACAGTACATAATCCGTGTATAAATTATGGTCACTGACCTATATATATATAATATATATACTAGATAGTGCACCTTCAGTTGTGTCAAGTATATCAATCGGTTTCAATGGCCCCTTACTTTAAACAGCCATAACATTGGCTCCATATACTACTGGACCAATTTTAATAATCTTAGTGTCAACATTTATCTTTCGACGCCTACTAATAATTAGCAGTGCAAAAATCTGGAACACAACTGTCGCATTTTAAGCCTGGCGCACACGATGCGATTTTAGTCGGCCGATAAAAATCGTTAGACTAAAACTAACAAAATCGTTGTGTGTGCGGTGTCAAATTTAACCGATTTTTTTGCTCGATTTTAATCGGACAACATCAAAACGTTTTCATATTATACGATTTTTATCGGTGGAATTTTAAGTATAACCAATCAGATTTCATGCTGTGATCACGTGCTTGTATTTATTTGGCAACATGGCGGCTACAGTTCAGGGAGCATATTTTTTTCGTAATCGTGTGCGGAGTATACCGATGTATATCGGTATGTCAAACGATTTTTATCGGCCGACTAAAATCGCATCGTGTGCGCCAGGCTTTAGGAACACCCTGTATAAGGCAGCCTTTCACAACTAAACATATTCTTTCAAACTACTATACTACTACTGGATTAGTTTGGTTCATTTTCAAACGTCGTGTAGCTATTTGTTCGTCATGTATAGCTTTTGCACGTCGGCATCTACAGCGTTGTACAACGTTACACTGGTGTGCAATCAAACCAAAGATCCTATTTAATTTGATGCCTTCTGGTGTCAGCACATTGCCAGTAACAGATATTGCATTTCTGTCCCACCTTGCAGTAACATGCATAGGTTATGTTACTTATCGTTTCCTCGACTTCCAAAACGGCGTTGCTAACATTTGAAGCGCTATATTCACTGCAACATGTTACCCCCACGAGTTGAACAGCCGCATTCTGAAAAATGAGAAGTTGTAAACAATGTTATACATGAGGCATTATGTGGTGAAACTTGCAACTCAACGTGGAAAAAAGTGCCATAGCGATCTTTCAGGAGGATGAGAGTTAATGAGAGATGCCAATCAGACTTGCGACCTTTGTTTTCAGGTCTTTCCGATGAATAATAATGTATACGCTTAATAGTTTAGCGTTACATTTTGTGAGTTGAAATTTTGTCTTATACTCTTATGCAATGATGGAGGTCCAAAGTTGAAAGTATGCCAAACATTCGTGATGTTTCCACAAAACAACAAATAGCTTTGAACTTACTTTCTTTTCATTTATCTGCACTTTTTGTACATTTTTCACATAATCTACTTGAGTGTTGTTTTCCATTTTGAAAATACAACTGTTCGTTTCTTCATCGAGTTTCCTACTAATATCTTTGATCTGAAAAAGACGTATACATAGCTTGATATTTTCGTTGTCCTATCAATCAAACTATATTATACACTTATGTGTGCTCCCGAGGGAAATAGTTTGTTTTCCCGAGAGTCTCAAAGGGAAACATTGAGATTCGAGTTTTGGTTTTCTTATATTGTTTTCTTGCGGTACAGGGTGGAGCTATCTTTGCACAGCGGGAAACATAGAAACAAACTTAAATAAACTCTAAATTAAACTCTAAGTTGGTGTAATATGATGCTTGTGATGTTACCCACACCGGGAAAGCTTGCCCGGTGTGGATATATTATTATATACACTCAGAGTAACATCACAAGCATCAAACTCTAAACTGTTCTCCATGGAACTCCAGTTAGAGGCGTTGTTAACAAACATGCAGTTGTTACCTTCTTATCAAGCCCTTTAAATTCCCACAAGCAGTTCATCCTAATTCCATTGCCCTGTGGAAGAAAAAGAAAATCCGACGTTAGATATTTACGCCCAATTTGAATTAGCACAGCACAGCACAGTACAGTACAGCACAGCACAGTAGATATGGCGTGCCGTATCGACAGATTTAGATCGAGGACGCGGACGTCGAAGACGACGTGAACTGAATGGCGTGTTGTACCCATGTATGCCATTTTCACGTCGTTTTTGACGTCCGCGTCCTCGATCTGTCTAATGCCAGCAACACAATACGACGCGATACACCACAATCCAGAAACCAATATAATAAATTTTATTGAAATACAAAAAACAAAAATAGCTAATATACATGAACTACGATTTCAACATATAATATCTTACCTTCCGAATAAATTGTTTCTTCAGCTTCTGTAGTGATTCCTGGTATCCACTGGCACTGCTTTCACTGCTGCAGTTCTAGAATAACACAGCTCCATTAAAATCACGCATAATTTTCTAGGTATCAACATGTTTGATGACTGGCCCCTATATCTTCTTTACGTGCTGGGAAAGAACCCCTGTTGCTTTGTAACATCCTTGTGCATGCAGTTTTAAATTTATCTTGAAAAACCCTGAAGACTCCTTTATTAATATGTTTTATAATATAGCATTTGTAAATTCTAAACTCAGATTGACTGTGACCTGTGTTGGCATAACTCAATGTCAACACGGAAAATTTCTTTCTCAGTTTATATATTTCTTTGTGTTATATTATAAAAAAGGTTTAAACATTTTTCCGTATATTGATCTGCTCTCTTCTGATTACGTGTCCATTCCATCTCATCCCTCCACCATCCTGGCGTGGTGTTTCCACACAATTTCTCGTTTTCCCAATTTCCACTCGTGTTGATATAACTGTATATCAACATGGAAAATGTTTTATATTTGTTAAATATCACTGCATGGAAAAAATAGTTAAATCCATGCTTATTTGGAATTTGCGATTGCATCACTAAACCATTATATATCCATACTATAACCACAGATCACAGTATGGAAATTAGATTTCCATCACAATTTCCATATCCAAGATCCATACTACTTCTATACTCTATAGTAAGGATTTTGGAAAACATTTCCAGTGATATGCGTTTCGTATATATTATGTACGAATTGATTTGATAAGTACCGTTAAAACATGAGCAGCCAATCTTTATCGGCGAGAATTAGTATATCATAGACATCATAGATAAAGATCGGATGCGACTGTTTTAACGTAGTTAAAAAAAGACGCATCTTATGAGTTCTTTGGCGAAGTAATTTTAAGAATAAATATTGTCTAAGCCGAGAAAATCAAAGCTGAAGTTTATGTAAATCAGGACAAATCTTTATCCGATTTACAAACATGCATTGATTAATTAAACATTCGTTTCTTTTGAATTTTCTTCATGAATTATATTAATGAATATTTTAAATATTTTTACCTGTCTAGCTAATCTTTGCTCACGAAGTGAAACAGAAGTTCCAGAAGATTTATCTCCTGACTAAAGATGGTAAAGAACAAAAGTTTCAGCTGCCAAGTTAAGGTAAGTAGTGCAGAGATACATATAGCATAAAAACCAATGCCAGCCGACAATTAGTTTAGAAAAACAAAACAAAACAAAACAAAACAAAACAAAACAAAACAAAACAAAACAAAACAAAACAAAACAAAACAAAAATCGAAGATTAGCATCTTGAAACCCAACTAAGATACGAGTCGAAACAAGACGAGAATGAGTTTGTGATATATCAAATGTTGATTTTGGACTGATATGATTGAAAAATCACAAACTCATGTTTTCACTTGTATATCTTCTGCTATCTTCGAATTTTGTTTTATATATTGCGATCAACGTCACCATATAAGCGTAAAAATTGAAGTTGGGCAAATTATAAACGTAGTTTGGGCAAAAAGATGGGGGAAATAAATTGAAAAGCAAGAAATATGCAAAATAATACTACATGACAGAAATATTGAAGATAATAGTCGAAAATACAAGAAATATGTAAGGTTTCCCATTTCTAACATTGTAACCCCTTTAAAAAATTTTGCAACCTCCCTCCCGCCCGCCCATCGTCGACAGGACTTGTGGGAATTTTACACGGACAAAATGCAAAAAAAACTGATCCCCCCTGATTTTTCCCGTCCTGTACGCCCATGTCATGCATTCGTGAAGCTTACCTGTGTTCTTAATTGTTGGTATTTATTCTGTAGTTCTTTTACTTCGTTAATGAGTTCTCTTAGCTCTGAAGTTTTAACTCCACTTTGCTGCATTGAGGGATTTATCGAAGGGGCTATAGGAAAGCAATTTACACTCTTTTTTAACACGTACAATAACATAAAACACTGTCAACGGTTTAACAAACATTTGCAGTTACACGGATTCGCCATTTCACAATGAAATTTTATGCGGAATTGGAAAGTGAAAATGCCCATTTCATAGGCAGAGTTTCATAGGTGAAATTTGATGAATTTTCACATATGAAATTTGACTTTTTAAATCTAAAAATGAAGGTTTATATGTGAAAATTAATTTCACATGTGAAATGATTATTTCTTACGTGGAAATGGAACAATTCACCTTTGAAAGTGTTATTTTCCGCTGGCTGAGGCACGAAAGAAACAGAAAATGTTTTCTCACACACTGCTGGGGGCCTGATGAAATCAAGGTGTTACAGGGTGGTGCAGGTTATATAATCAAGGTGTTACAGGGTGGTGCACGAGATATTGTTTTTGTCACTCGAAAATAAAATCCATACCTCCTCGCAACCATCTAATATCCTCTATATATGTACTTGTTATATAGTAATTATATATGTAGCGAGTACCTGTAATTGTAAGGTAGTTGAATAAATGTCAAGCTTGCGGCTGACGCTGCAGCAGCTCCCAGTGGTGTGTGAGAAAGGCATTTTGTGAAAAGGCATATGGTGAACATATAACTTTTTTTTTAGTTTTTTTTTTGTGTTTTGCCCGGACTTGAAATCTGATGCAGACTCAATTCATTCCTTATTTTCCAACTTTGCTTTCAACAGTGCCGGAAATGATTAAATTGTTGTGGTCGGAAATTGCATTCCAAACATTTATAATTTAGGGGAATCTCACAACAGCGCGTGAACGATAAACAATTCAAGTTCCTTGGTGGTTTGCACGGCAAAATCAAATGTGATTGTTTTGTTTTCTGGAACGCGTTTTTTTTATTTAGCTTCTGCTTTTAAGTGTTCTATTATTATTCTTTTTCTTATTATTATTGAATCCGTTCGCCCCATTATACATCCAGGCCGATAGAAGTGTAGTAGAATTATATGGCCCAACCTTTAAATCACGGTTAATAGAAGGAGGATGGTTAGGCTAGCTGGACCACGTGACAAATATGTTATTGTTCTCATTTTATTCATGTCACGTGACGAGATAGGGGGACGCTTCGCAGGAGTGTAATAGAAAATATATTGTTGACATGGCTTTTGTGATGTATAAATTTACGTATTTTCGATTGTATACGCCTGATTTGATCACGGATTTGATTTATACTTCGAAGTTCGGAATGATCTGATCGTATTCACAAGTTTTAAAGGTATTGTTGATTGGTTTTGAGATATAACCACGCTATGCTAAGTGTATATTCACATATTCCATTCTCAAGTGTTCGAGGATTTTCATACTTAAAGACGATACTTTTGGAGTTTGTCCGGGAAAAACTGCTCTGCTTTTGGTCGTGAGAGTTGCGGTAGACACAATGAACGATAAAATACCCAGTGTTTTTAGGACGACGGATGGAGAACAGCTCGAGTAGAATTGCTAAGGCCGCTATTATTAAAGAGATCTGACGTCGGTGCGAACGTATTGATGCGAAACAAACAAACGAAGTAAATTGAACTAATATTACAAACGTATCAGCCCAAATCATGTGCCTATGCAGCATACTTTGGTATTTGCTCTGCCAACAAGACAACTCCAGACAATTTTACTTGTCATTGATAGTGATTTCTAGTTGATGTGTACTGTGTAGTGGACTATTAATTTAAAAGTAACATTTGGAATAGTCAAACTGATATCTGTTATTGAATTTTCAAATTAGTATCCTCAAAAAACCATTATATTATCATGTATGGCATTTCTGCATGTCCAGTTGCTAGCAGTGGCATAGCTAGCCCGACGATTTGGACACGCTATGCAAATTTCAACTCATCATTATTCACTTCTTTAGAAATTATAACATTGTACCAGACTACTGTAACTACATACTTACTGAAATTTAAGACTGTTGAAGAATATTTATTGTCTATCACCATTACATAATCTACACATCAACTGGCAATGCATGCAGATGCACCTACTTTACTCTGTCTAAAGCAATAAAATTTTACTCAGTGGAAGAATACTGTTGTTAATCGGTTATTAACAACTATTGATATCCACCCTGGGATGGTTGTTCATTCAATTTGGGATTTGCAGGGTGAAGTTCTTCAATTGGCAGATCTCTGACCTCACTGAGAGAGGACTGACTAGTCGTGAAATTGGCATGCAAAATTGTATGGCCTATTGGCTCTGGGTTGAACACTTGTAGATACTTATAGATACTGAATTTAAATACACTGGAAATAACAAATTGTATACATTGACTGGAAATGTACAAGTTTAATATTCAAAGAAGATTCTAAACCATTTTCACGTATGTTTTGTTCTATTTTTTATCAGATTAGCCCATACTTTGTTTCCCATACCCAATTTTACTTGTCATTAGCAATCTGCCAGTGCCGCATGTTAATTCACTAGTGGGTGAGCTGGCAATGTGTCCAGCAAATGCACCCTACATTATATTTTTTTGAAAGAGAAGCAATTGCAAGTTTATGGTTAATTCATTAGGGCACGCAGGTATACCTGACAAAACAATTCAAGGTTCAACATGTCTTAGGGGCTGATGACATGGGGAGTTTTCAGCCCGGGCTGAATTTCAACCCAGTTAACCGAGCTGAAATTGTTTCACGATTACATGACAAAGTTCAGCCCGGGGTGAGTTAGAATTTCAATTCAAACCGGGGTTAAATCTCAGCCCGGGCCGAAAGAATGAAGTCTCAAAATGGAGGTATTCTGTTTCTTTGGAAAATTTAAAATGTTGTTCATATCTATTGACTTCTGCAAGAGTGTGGTTGCATTTAAAAGTAGAACAGACAGAAATAAAGCGACTTAAATGCTGTTTTTTCAACCTGGGTTGAATTTTCGTGTCGATTACATGGCGATTTTCAGCCCGGCCAACCGGGTTGAAATTTTCAGCCCGGGTAGCTCCAACCGGGCTAAAACTTCAGCCCAAGCTGAAATTTCTGTCATGCAATCATTTGTTGTGTTTTAATAGGATTTTATCCTCAGGCTGGGCTGAAATTTCTTAATTTCAGCCTGGGAAACCAGGATGAAACTCAGCCATGCTGAAAACTCTCCATGTAATCAGCCCCTTACCAGGTTTGAATTGTTTGGTTTGATAAGGCCTGTATGATGACTATATCATGATAGCAGTGTAATTGTGAAAACCTAACCAACTAACCATAGAGGCATTTGTAAATAATATATTAGTTTTGGGAGTCATAAATTTGCCAACCCATTGTTATATTTTCAAACCTATGGTTCAATTAATCTGAATATGAAAACAGAGTTTATTGCAGAAGATAAATGAATTGTATAGTTACAAATTTTATAAAATATATAATATCACTTTCTTTTCACTACTGTTTTACAGTAATGCAAAGGCTTTACCACGTTTTGCATCGTTTTCATACTCGATAATATAATCTTTGCTACGGTTGAATTCACCCGACTTTTTTATATCGCATCCCACATTGTTTCCAACGATCGAAATGTACTTTTCACAACGTATAGCTTCTACAATGTCAATCAACTAAAGAAGTAAATGCACCTTTATATATAAACACATAGATACTTCGTACAATAGATTCCCCATGACCATCTGTTGTAAAGTGTTTTGAATTACTGAGCTATATGCCTTGTAATTTGGCACTAAGGCCGCAAATTTGTCGCACACATACTGTAGCACTGAAAAGACTTCTCACTGTCGATTGGGCAGCAGAAAAATCAGTATTTAATACAACTGTTTTTCTTCCGCTAATAGTAACAGGGGCCTCGATGCTATAAAAATCTTCGTCTATAAATCTACGTATTCGCTCTCTCGTTCATCTTCCAAACGATACCGTCATTTCCGATCGTTGAAAACTCTCTTTGCTTTTATTATTACTGTTTTCAAATGTCTGCATCGATGAAGAAATCACTCCTCTTTCGATATCACTATCCATCGTTATTATAAATGCTCCAAAAGATACAAAAATGCTTTTATTATCAGTATTAACCCAACACTTTCAATATAATTTCCTACAAATGTCAACACAAGCGTCCCCCTATCTCGACACGTGACATTTTTTTCCTTTGTGTTCAACATAGTTTGCCGCCCCCTTTGAAGTTTGCCGGCTAGCCTAACCATCCTCCTTCTATTAACCGTGTATTGACTAAGGTGGTTACACCCTGAGTGTCAAAGTTACCTCTGACGACCAAGCTGAAACAGTGGGGGTCCAGCATTAGCTGCAGCCATGACTACAAAACTTTATTCGAGATATCTTGACAGCCACTCAATATAAACATAAAAAAATGTATTCTCAATGTTTCGATGAAAACCCCCTAACTCTTCTGGCTTAGGACCTTTGCTTGCGATGTAAAGAAATACATCTTGTGTATGTTTCGATTGAGTAGCTGCAGTACTGTATACAGAAATGTTCATGTTTACGTCAGACTGTTTGGGCAGTGCAGCTGCTGGCTTGAAGGAACAAAGGGCCCAAGCTGAAGCAATATAATATGAATATATACCCTTGTGAATATGTCTACATGTCAGCCGTTCATTCTAACAAGCACACTTCTCAAGACGAAGAAACCACATAATGAAGATTGACTGGCTGATCAGTGTCCATATTCAAAACAATTCATATATAATTTAACACAGATACTGTACATACAGTAAAGCAGAGGTGTAACTTAACACTTGCCAAGTGAATATCATGATGGGCAAGTAAACGTTTTATCTTGCTTGCCCGATCGGGCAAATTGCCTTGCCACAAAAAGCTGTCCATCTTTAAGTTTATGTTTTCTTTGTCGGATAAATTTTGTTATAGTGCATGTACTTGATTCAAATTTTGTTTTTTTGTGGGCCGAAGCTAGATCTGAGGCAGTACAGTATAACATGGCCATATAGACCAGTGGGAGAATGGGTCGACATGTTGTCCCCTTAATTTGTACCTCCCACCTAGGTACCCCAGTGGCCTTGTGTGATGACAACTGAATTTTTTTTTATCAGGGCAACTAATTTTCACGTCCAAAAGTTACACCACTGTAAATTAGCCTGGGCCTCACTACAACACAAGCATAAGAGGGATCAAACATTGATTTCTTATGTACAGTACTGTCCTCACTATTGTATATAACATAAGCATAAACATATAACATAAGAATATACAATTACTTTATGGTTTCCGTGTTTGGATGGCCTGATCCAAACACGCGGGAATGTTGCGAGGGTTAAGAAAAGCGAGCGAAATCACGAGCCGAAGGCGAGTGATTTTGCCCGCTTTTCTTAACTCGAGCAACATTCCCAAGTGTTTGGATCATTCCATCCAAACACAGAAACCATAAAGTAATTGTTTTATAAAATAACAACAACACGATAGTCTTCCGTGTTTGGATGGCCTGATCCAAACACGGGTTTCGACCAATCAGAATACGCGTTATGTACACGTTATTTTATAATATCAAAATGTTGCGATCTTTTTCTAATGATTATGCTTGTGCCTTAAATTATCTTGCATTGTAGTGAGGACACAGTGAGAATAACACAAGCATAAGAACGTCAAAGCATTCTGCTTGCTTATGTTTATGCATTTGCTTGCATCTTAGTGAGGACCAGCAGGGCTCGAAATAGTGGGCTACCAATGGCCAAAAGCTGGCCATATTTTAGAAATGGCAGGCAAAAACAAATTTGAAAATGAAAAAAAATGGCAGGTGAAATTCTATAGATATATTTAATTTCATAAATGCTTACCACAACTCATATATACTGGATCATTTAGTTGTCTAAATACGTTTATATTTGAAATGTAAATCCAAGTTTACTGTACTGTACATAGTAAAATAGACAAGTTTAAAAATAACTAAAATGCATATCATGAAAACATTGATTTTTTCAATACAGTATATGGCTCCTATGAGACATCGCCATTTTGACAGTCAATGAATAAAAATGGCAGGCTAAAGTTTATTTCTCTACTTCGAGCCCTGGAGCCTGAAGTATTATTTTTGCTGAAGTAATAAATTATTTTCCTGAAGAATAACTTGCCTGAAGTAAATATTTTCCATTTAATTAACCTAAGTTTCAGAGACTGTCATGCATGTTTCTTGTTATTAAGCTGCAAATTATGGCTATGCTCTTAGTACAGTATGTCATTTATGATTTTACTCTGCCTAATGCCAGATGCTTTTTTCTTGTCAAGAGGGGACTTGTATGTGCATAAATAGATTAACGAGAACTGACAATACACTTTCCAATACTGTAATATTTATTTTACTGTACACAGTGATCAGGATGAATCTAGGCTCATGTAGTTAAATTAAAGGATGCATTTTTCCTCATAAGTCATGAATATTTCAGTATGCACTGATTGATGCTGACCTTTTTTGTGATGGGGTGCCCAGTGTACAGGTCTCAAATAAAGAACCATCATTAATTAACCATTAAGCACCAGCACTCTCCCCTTGACGAGTAAAATCGTCTGGCATTAGACGGAGTAAAATCATAAAGTAGGGCACAATGCAACTTAATGGGTTAACCCATTAAGTGCCAGTGCTATCTCCTTGACATCGAGTAAAATCGTCTGGCATTAGACGGAGAAAAATAATAAAGTAGGGCACAATGCGACTCAATGGGTTAACCCATTAAGCACCAGTGCTATCCCCCTGACATCGAGTAAAATCGTCTGGCGTTAGACAGAGTAAAATAATGAAGTGGGGCGCATCAGGGCGAAATTCTACTTAATGGTTAACTAGACATGTGAACAGATAGGCCAGTTAACCCATTAAGCGCCAGTGCTCTCCCCTTGACAAGTAAAATCCTTGACAAGCAAATTCGTCTGGCATTAGACAGAGTAAATTAATAAAGTAGGGTGCATCAGGGCCCAATGCAACTCAATTGGTTAACCCATTGAGCCCAGCACTCTCCCCTTGATGAGGAAATTATCTGACTTTGGCCAGTCAGTAACATGATAGAATAGGGTGCATTAGGGTGCAATGCATCTTTAGTTAAATAATGAGTTGGTTAATCTGCTGAATGTAAATATTAATTTTCTTTACTTTTATGTTTTTATAGGTATTGCAAGCTGAAGCATTAAGTTTCCATACTACCTGGGCAGTGCTATGGCTTTGGAAGCTATGTGCTGCAGATATCTTCTTAGAACTCACCATTGTAGCAATATTCTTTGACAAGTTATGGGTGAGTAATGAAGTTTTTAGTCATATTTTACTGTATCTCTTTAGTAATTATGGCCATAGTAATTATAAAATGCTCTTTTTATAATTGTTTAATTAAACTACCTAGTGAAAAGGTCATTGTTATTATACCTTTTAAACCCTGGTTAAACGAGAATGAGAGTTGATGAGAAGAGAGAGTTTTTCTTAACTCTTCCTATCGTTGAATTCTCTATAGAAACCTGTAGGCACCTATAGCTTTCTATAGACCCATTGCACATGACGTCACAGCGCCGGCGACGATGCATTTGGAGGACAAATTAGCAATCTATGCATAATATAACTTTTGTAAACAAAGCAAATTTTGTAAAACTTTATAATAATTTTGTATTAAAATGGTTAGTTTTTGCGCTGTATGTGGTTGTTGCATCCGAACAGATATTGTTAGGGAGCATCTGGAGGACACTCTAAGGATTTGTGACGTCAGTGCAAAGGGTCTATAGGATTATAGGCATCCCTATAGGTCACCTATACAGGGTGTATAAAAAAACTGAACAGATTTGGAATTGCTCTCAATTTTGCAAAAGCAACCAGGGGTTGACAAAATTTGAGTTGGAGACAATTTTTTTCATTTTTCTGCATTATACTGTAAGTACCCAAAGAAGCTATATATTAGAGGTGTGCAAATCCGATCCGATCGGATTTGTTCGGATTTCGGAACCAAAATATTCATATCGGATCGGATTGATAAAGTTGTTTCACAGTCGGATCGGATCGGACTTCGATATCCGAAATAAAATGAATTGATTATCCATGCGCATTATCGCAAGAATTAATTATTCGTGCATTCATCAAAGCATTATCGCGGTTGTCGCTGCATTATTTGTTTGATTCTTGAATCGGACGTCACTTTGTCAGCTTCTTGACATGTATTTCTTGCTTTTATACTTATTTGGTTAAATATTTCAACTTGAATGAGAAATTTATTTTATTAAAGAATTCTTCGGATAGGATCGGATTGGAATTCTTTATCAATGCTCGAATTCGGATTAGACAATTTCGGATCAGATTTTAAACATTAGGCAATTGTCGGATTATAAACGTCCGATCCGATGCACACCTCTACTATATATATCAAAATTCAGAGCAATTTCAAATCTGTTCAGTTTTTTTATGCACCCTGTAGAAAATGTTCCAATTGCCAAAAAAAAACATATAGGTTTCCTATAGGAACCTGGTATATAGGTTGGCCTTTTTTTGTACCGTAAGCTAGGGTCGACATACATTGGATCAATAAGTATTATAATAATATTTTCTAAAGTTTTGAAACAAATAGATGTGCGGAAATCCATTTGAAAAATATGCTGTCAACTTCATCTGACAATATCGTCAACTGACAACATTCGTCATTAACATTTGGCAAAACGTGAAATTGTCCCGATTAATTGTTGTGTGTAAACGCACTGTAGCTAAAGGCCCTGTCACACTATTGCGTATGAGAGAAAGTATGAGAAGCGTATGAAAATTAATGAAATAATTTTCATACGCACAAAAATCCTTTGAAATGCCAGCGTACGAGTACCGTACATCTGGCGTACCTCTAGCGTATTCAGCGTGTGCCTATAGAGTATGCTTATCGTATAAAGCATACGTCCAAATACGCACAAAATTTTTGAGCATGCTTAAAAAAAATTTTCTGCCTCGCCGTATGCCACCGTATGAGACCGTGCTTGAAACGTATACAACCTATGCCTAACGTACCCCTAACGTATGTCAGCGTATACCGGCGTATGAGTGATATTTTTCATACGCTAGTACGATACGCAATAGTGTGACAGGGCCTACTCAACTATCCATCTGACTGTCTCATGTTATTCATTGACCCATTAAGGTGCAAGAGTGCAAGACTCTCCCCCTTGACAAGTACAATCATCTAGCTGGTGTTATACAGAGTCAAATAATACAATGGGGCGCATCAGTGTGCTTTATTATCACTTAATGGGTTAAGTAACAAGTGAATGAACAATAGAGCAGTGCGGTTCCAAAAATTTTATCTCGGTTCCGGTTTTTTTGGAATGGAAAAACCTCGGTTCGGTTTCGGTTATTTTCAAAAAAGAATAATAGTACAAATGTATGAACTGATTTATGTATGTTTCGAACATTTTTACTAAATTGATGAATTTATACCTTTGTAAGTTTATATAAATCTCTGAATATTTTAAAAGAACAATTGGAATTTATTTATGAACATGAAATATTTCTTTTTTAAAAAAATTTAAAGCAAGTTCACAACAATTATCACAACTAAAATATCAACTATTTGAGCACCAAGTACAGTGCATATTGTGCACAAAGAGCACAATCTTGTTATTTTCCAAACATTTCAGCCTGCAATCAGGTGGGCGTTTGGCGGGCGTTGAACGGGAAATTAAAACCGAAACTACCGGTTCTTTTGCGTATAATTTTTCGGTGCTAAAAAAAGTACCGGGAGAACCGAATTTTTCGGTTATTATTATTATTTATTATTATTTATTTGTTATTATTATTTATTCTTATTATTTATTATTATTATTTATTATTTATTCTTATTATTTATTATTCTTATTATTTATTTTATTATTTATTTATTTATTTATTTATTATTTATTATTATTTTCGGAATTTTTCTAATTTTTCGGTTATTTGTTAACCGCACAGCTCTAATGAACAATCTTTCTAATAATGCTATTATTGTTTTTTAGAGATGGGTTGTTTTAGTAAATTATGTTGGCCCAGCAACTTTAGCAATAACTGTTGTTCTGTCTCAAATGCATGTTATTATGGTAAGTTTAATTAATTAATAGACTAAGTGCACAAATTACTTAACATGGGGAAGTTTATCAACCATAGAACAGGAAAATTGAGGACAAGGAAGGAAAATATTTTAAATATTGGTGCCAATTTTATTATCAAATTCTTTTTTTCAATTTGGAAAGGCAATATTCCTAAAGCCAATTCCACAAAAGGCCTGAACCTGTAGAACACTGCTCAGTGCTGCCATGGATTGTAAAATAACTGGATAGGAAACTTCCTGACGTCACAGTATAAACCTAGTTGCAATCTGTGACGTCACGCGTATTGCGAATATTACCAAAGTTTTCGGCATTTATGTTGTTTCGCTATATTTTCCACTTTAAAAGAGTAATATTGAAGCATAAACTGGTCTAATTGTTTTAAAAACATGCCTAAGCTACGACAAAGTATTCAAGGTAAATGTTTTTCGTCTTTGTTTTGTATTTTTTTACATTTGTAGCTACGAAATTTTAACGAAATTTGCTATGATTGATGAACTTTTCACTGTTTAGTGCTTGAAATATTTGCTAAAATTGACTGGGAATACTTGGAGATTTCATCGTAGAATGGCGTGGTTATATTTATTTGCTCTTTGACTAAAATGATTAGCTGTATTATTGCTAAACATGCCGTTTTTGAGAATTTGGTTTGCAACTGGGTTTCAACATCCAATCACGCCATCAGCCCATTGAAAACATTAGGTCACGAGCTAGTTTCGTATCCATTTATTTTATTATCCATGGTGCTGCATACTGTAGCTCCAAGTTATTATGCACTTGGTCAACAATTGCACCTGAGTATGTAAGCACTGTGCTAACCATGACTAAGGTCGATGAGTTACACACCCTACTAGATCTGGGTGGATCCCTGTATGTAGTAATGTAGGCCTGAGCACTATGTTCTGTATAAATACTTTTTCTCATTTGAATTTTTATTTTTACTCTAGGTTCGGCAATATCTTGGTGTGTAATGAAATGGTACTGTATATGAATTTTAGCCTGAGAGTATCTTTTGTTCTTAAGAGATTTTAATGCTTGTAAATATATTTTTGGTAGTGACAAAATTCTTATTTATTTGTCCAATATCTGCAAAGCTGATGATAGGTGGAGCTTTGTTTGAATCAGTGGTGAAGATAACCATAGCAACCGGTCATGATATGCAAATGTTTAATGATTTGCATAATAGACTTTTATAAAAAGTTGACGTCAGCAGGCTTGTGACGTAGTTTGCGGAGAAAATCCCGAAAGCTCAGAGTTGTTTACTTGTTTTGAGTTTTTTAAGAGCCAAAAGAAGCCAGTATTATGGTAAGTTTGAAGTCAATTTTTCTATATATAGGCCAAATGAGTTTTCATATTCGTTAGAGTTTAAATTTTATTTGTTTTTATCCTAGATTGTACATTTATTTTACTGTCAACATTTAGCAAATTGTTCGCTCGGTCTGTTTACATATTTCTTTGCTGAAAAGTAGGCTATATTTTTTCTATTTTGTTTCTCGAATTCATCAGTCTAATCATCAGAATGGCCCAACCTGGCAAAACCTTGATAGAAAATTAAAGCTAGATTGTTGACCAATGTGTTATACACGATTGATAAAAGCTATACTTGTCATGTATGTTCACTTCAACTATATTTATCGATAAAATAAGAGACTTTATAGTCTTAGTTTATAGTATGTCTAAGTTCACTTATGACTTATGTACCTCTTTGCACGATCACTGAGCCTGTGTATTGCTGTCTACAGCTTGATTGGGGGCCATTCTGATGATTAGAGTGATGAATTCGAGAAACAAAAAAGAAAAATTATACTTTTTAGCAAAGAAATATGTAAACAGACCGAGCGAACAATTTGCTAAATGTTGACGGTAAAACAAATGTACAATCTAATATAAAAACAAATAAAATTTAAACTCTAACGAATATGAAAACTCATTTGGCCTATATATAGAAAAATGTACTTCAAACTTACCATAATACTGGCTTCTTTTGGCTCTTAAAAAACTCAAAACAAGTAAACAACTCTGAGCTTTCGGGATTTTCTCCGCAAACTACGTCACAAGCCTGCTGACGTCAACCTTTCTATAAAGGTCTATTGCATTATTCAAATTAGTTTAGTTCATTTGAAAGAACTCTTAAAACTATATATTAAATTCCATTAAATTCCTTAGTTTTCAAAATATGTCGACTGAAAAAGTGAGCTGTTCGCCATCTTGGATTATTGAGGATATGCATGTTACGTCAAGAGAATTTTTTATCTTGAGAGTAAGCGATCAATATGGATCCAAAACTTTGTTTCTGGTTGCTGTCTGAAATTTAGAAATGATTTAAAAACATTTCAAACAATTCTGGATTGTTACTCTGCCATTTTAGAGTAATTTTATATGGTTAGCCCAACACCTGACGTCATCAAAACCATAATTAATGGGTCCAAGATGGCGGACAGCTCATTAATTTCGGTCTAAACACCCCGAGAACTAAGCAAGATACGACAAATTGGTAATAGAGTTTAATATATAACTTTAAGAGTTCTTTTGGATGAGACAAACTAATTTTTTATTGCCAATCTCCTTTAACCTATTTAGATACAGGTTTACATATTAGGGCATAACATGATTAGTTGCCATGGATAGCTTTGCCAGTGGTTCAAATTATGTACTGTAATTTGTTGGCCTGGTTTCATGCCTAGTGTAAACATTGAACTTTCCATGTGCCTGGACCCACTTTAATAAGGTAAATGATTCAGACACTATGTTTTATACACTATATTAAATACAAATATAAATACTATATATGCATACAGGGATTAATACAAGCATTTTAGCCTACTACCGGGTTTTTTCGGAAAATTGAATTTTAGAACTCCACTTTCATTATTAAATCCTTCCCGTAAAATTCTTGATTTTGTCTCCCGCATCCAGACAGCACTTTTAAGGGAAAAAAGGTCTTAAAACAGGACGGTGTTCAATGGCGTGTTGAAGAACATACAACGATCAAGTGCTTTCGTCCTTTTACAATTAATTATTCCCATTTAATTCCCACAATTTCGTCAAAATCATATTGTGAAATATATAATTAAGGAGAAAGATTGAGTTTCAATGAGATTTCACTACCGTACACCGGCTGTACAAAAATGGTTGTATTAATCCCTAACATATAGGCCTAGCGTTATATACTTATCACACTCGGGAAAAGCAGTGTGTTTTGTGGCCCCTCGACCGCCGTTGTTGCCCTCGGCTCAGCCTCGGGCAACAACGGTGGTCGCGGGACCACAAAACACACTGTTTCCCTCGGTCTCAGTAAATAAGTGTTTTGTTATATAGTATGTAAGTGTCAAAGTATGAATAATTCACCGGTTATTGGAGTGAACTTAATTAACTAGTGAAACCAAAACTGGATAAATGGAACGCCGTAGATGTTTAATAAAAAGTTTAAAAAATGAACTTTGGAACTTCATGGTTGACACGTGTTATATTGTAAGAAACAATATAGATATGTAATGTGAACGTTAATACTTATAGGAAACTATTATGAAATATATACATCGCTTCATCTATGCCTCGTGTCTCTGTGTCTGTCCTTCCCCGTAAGTCCTCTTCCCTGAATCCCGCTACCAGTTCACTTCATCGTAGAACACAACATCTCCCTTTTACTTTAGAATATGAAATATACTTATGCAAACAATCATGCACCTAAATTATGACCAAAATTCAATAGTTCTGGTTTAAATGTCAACCTAAACAATAGTACCAATATTTTAACAGTTAAGTTTCTTCGCGCAAGAACCGAGGTCTTCTTCGTACTCTTGCCGGATACCTTCGTGGAATATCTTGTGGCTGTTCGTTATTATCTTCATCGTCCGTTACATCGCTAGCGCTGTCGTCGCATTCCTGTTCATCAGCACTTTCGTCTTTCGAGTAAAATCTTTTGAAATGCGATACGTTTCTGGTGGTAGTGAGATCGTGTCTCGCTGCGGTTATCTTTGTGCCATTAACTTTCGTTACAGTCAAAGGTGTTGGATCAAAAACAGTACTAAATTTGTTTTTTCGTTCTTGTTTCACCAAAACTTTCATTCCTACTTCGATGTTTGCTTTCCGAGCTCGTCGTCTTTTATCTGTATACTGCTGCGCTTTCGACTGCTTCTCTGACGTATTTATCTTAGCCTGTTCGTGTAAAATCTTGTAATCAATATCGCCCTCTTTTACAAAAGTTGGCATGTTCGTACGAACTTCGCGATTGAACAACAGTTGACTTGGTGCTACCCCGGTGGTACAGTGTGGTGTAGTTCTGTAAGCTAACAGAAAACCATGTAGCTCTTCTTTCCAATCCTTTCCTTCCATTTTCGCTGCTTTTACAGCCTTGCCGAGGGGCTTCATGAACGACTCGGCTTCCCCGTTGGCCTGTGGCCAATAACGTGTTACAAGCCGGTGATTTATTCCGCGATTTCGCATGAATTTCTTCACTGCATCACTAGCAAACGGTGGACCATTGTCCGAGTAGATTTCAGTGGGAATGCCATGAACTGCGAAAATTCTGTCCAGGCGATTCGTGACGGCGCTGGCAGTAGTGGATATCATTATTTCCACTTCTGGGAACTTTGAATATGAATCAATGACAACAAAAAGTGTTTCCCCCGTGGGAAATGGACCGCAAAAATCCATGTGAAGTCTATCCCATGGTTTGGAGGGCAATTTGTGTTGTTGAAAAGGCGGTGGCGGATCACCATGCCCGAGAGACTGGCATGCGTGACAATGCTTAATAAACTCTTCCGCATCTTTGTCAATTCGCGGCCACCACACTTTCGTCCTCAGGGCTTGTTTTGTTTTGACAATGCCCTGATGACCTTTGTGGGCATGTGTCATGGTTTCATTTCTAAGCCTTGTTGGAATGATCAACTTATTTGCACGGAGCAAGAGACTGTTTGGTGTGACAGCGAGTTCTTGTCTCACTGCATAAAAGGGATGATGCTTTGCCCAGACACCCGATTGGATACTTTCAATCGCTGATTGCATTTCTGGATCAACTGCAGTTGCTGCAATAATGGACTCGATACTCATGGCCTTGGGGATGGTGTTCTTCTCTATAAAATTGATATATTGTTCAGCAATGTCACAATGTTCAGTGTATACTACAGGTAGTGGTTGTCTAGAAAGTAGATCAGCAGGGTTGCCTTCGCCTTTGCGATATATTATATTAAATTTGTATTGTTGTAAGCGAAGAGCCCACCGTTGAATCCGAGCAGGTGGTTTGGATTTGGGTGAATAAATTACCTCAAGGGCTTTGTGATCGGTGCAAATTGTGAATTCTGCACCAATTAGGTACATGTGAAACCGTTCGCAACCCCAGACAACGGCTAAGGCCTCTCGTTCGGTTTGTGAATACCGTTGTTCAGTTAGAGTGAGTGACCTACTGGCATATGCTACATTATGCAAATTACCTGCTCTGTCAATGTTCGACAATATTGCTCCAAGACCTGTGGGGCTTGCATCGACTGTTAGACATGTTTTCTGATTTGGGTCATAAAAATGCTACAGTCTTTCTGTATAGCTTCTTTAATAGCAGCAAATGCTGCTGTGTGTCTAGGTGTCCATGCATAGGGTGTTTTGGCTACAGTAAGTTCTCGCAAGGGGGATGTAAGAGTTGAAAAGTTCTTGATGAATCTGGAACAATAGTTTGCTAGCCCTAGGAAACTACGGAGTTCTTTTGTGTCCTTTGGTTCCTTAGCATGCTTAATTGCATCAACTTTCCTTGGATCAACTTTTATGCTTGAATCAGTAAGGAGAAAGCCATAGAACCAAAGTTCTCTCTGATCAAATAGACATTTGTCATTATTTACGGTTAAACCGGACTCGTCTAAGCGAGCAAATAACTGCTCTAACCGTAAATTATGTTCCTGTTGTGTTGACCCCCAAACAATTATATCATCCGCGATGTTACGAACTCCGTCTATCCCTCGAATGGCATTCTCGATAGCATGCTGAAATACCTCGCTGGCCGAGTTGATACCGAAAGGTAATCGTTTATAGCGAAACAATCCACGATGCGTAATAAATGTAGTAATGGACCTGGAACTTTTCTCAAGGGGAATTTGGTGATACCCAGCCTTCAAATCAATCTTACTGTATTTAATTGCCCCATTCATACTTTCCATCAGTTCGTCAACTGTAGGAATTGGGTGTTTTTCTCTTTTTATAGCTGTGTTTGCTTGGCGGTAGTCGCCGCATACTCTTACTTCATTGGGGTTTCTGGGTTTTGGTGCAAGAACTAGTCCACTCACCCAGTCAGTGCTCTCATCAGATACAGGCTCAATTATATCTTTTTGTAAGTAATCGTCAAGCCAGGTGTCTAACTGTTTGCGTAAATGAAATGGAACACGCCTGTTCGTTTGGGCAACAGGGGGTACATTGGTATTTATGTGAATCTTTTGTTCATGCCCCTTTAGTTTACCAATTCCTGTAAATACATTAGGGTGCCTACCTTTCAATAGGTTTTCTTTTCTTTTACTCGCATCCAAATCACAGCTACTCGTATCAGTTCCAGAGTCCGACTTGACAGCCGATACTTTCGACACAGAATTAACATTCATGGTAATCAAACGCAAATTAGTAGACGTCTCACAACCGAGAATTGAAGTAGTGCCTTGAGTTCCCTTTGTGACATAAAATGTAGCGGCAGCAACACGACGCTTTGAGTCAACTAGAACTTCAAACTTTCCTTTCAACTCAACTGGTTCTTTAGAGCCAAACGCATAGATTCTAGTTTTAGTGTTTTGTAAAGAGATTTGGTCCTTTGAATTTGTACAGAGAAACTCATAGTCCTTTTGTGTCAAAATGTTCACTGAAGCTCCGGTGTCAATCAAAAACTCTACTTTCACCCCATTAATTTTGAGTTTTGTCATGGGTGGTTGCTTCACTTTCTTGGCTCTCGAAACAGCAAGTATATCCTCATTGCTATCACTGTCGCTTACTTCCGGTTCACCTTGTACTGTTGGCTCAGTAGAGAGTGGTTGCTGTTGCCGATTTTGGTTCAAAGCATTCAACTTGTTTGCCTTCGATTTATATTGGTCCTGAGGCATTCGAGGTTTTCGAGAGATTGGTTTTTGTTCAGACTTACAAACTCGAGCGAAATGTCCAGTTTTTGAGCAATTATGACAGGTCTTGCCTGCAGCGGGGCAGGGCCTGCCTTGGTGGGGATACGTCCCTCCACAATTATAACAAGTTTGTGCTTGTTTACCTTTTATATCCCTTGACGGAAAATCTCGTCTGGTGTTTTGATACACAGCCTCCTGACGGTGTTGCTTTTCCATTTCTTCAGCATGGTGATCAGAAATTTCCAGTGCTCTCGCGTATTTAATCAAATCAGCCAGCTTGGGGTCATCCCGAAATGCTTTCCTTCTGAGTCGACTAGACCTGCAGTTTTCCACGATTTGTGTTTTAATCTCGTCCTCTACATTATCGAATTCGCATGTCGAGGCACGATGTCTCAGTCGTGTACAGAATTGGTCAATTGTTTCGTCAGATCGCTGGCTGACTTGGCGAAAAATATGTCGCTCGTATAGAATGTTTTTTTTTCGGCGCGAAATACTCTGTCAATTTCTCTATGGCTTTATCGAAGTCGTTCTCTTCTCCCGTATCAGAGAGCGTGGCAAATATTGTTTCCACCTTTGGACCGGCCAGGTATAACAATAGAGCTCGTTTCCTTGCTTTGTCTTTGATGTCAAAAGCGACTATACATCGTTTGAATCGTTGCAGCCATTCTTTCCACTGCGAAGCCAGCGAACTTGGCTCTGAATGAGGATAAAACTGTTGAATTCCCGAGAAATCTAATCCTGCCATAGTAATCGAATGTTGAGGTTATCCTCGTCGCCAATGTTATATTGTAAGAAACAATATAGATATGTAATGTGAACGTTAATACTTATAGGAAACTATTATGAAATATATACATCGCCTTCATCTATGCCTCGTGTCTCTGTGTCTCTTCCCCGAATCCCGCTACCCAGTTCACTTCCGTCTATACGCACTTCCGCTACTAGAACACAACAGTAAGTTGTTATTTTCTATTTTTACAAAAACAAGTTTGGAAACAGTATTTAGTCCTCCAGCTTGATGTCACATTCCATTTATTTGGATATTTCAATAAAGGAATGTGAAATAATAATCAAATCTTGTGCAAAATTTGATACCAACACACATGTGAACAGATACTATCACCTAAAAATAAAAGAAAACAGAACTTAAAATTATCATCTAATGCTATGAAAAAAAATTTTAGATACTACAGACATATAGTGAGCACAATTCTTTAACAAACTCACTAAAATAAGTTAAGTTATACTATGATAAGAGGATGGCAATATATAACAACATCAAATGTTGTCATCTTCAGTGTCCAAAAAAAGTGCCGCGTGCATTTTTTGTGGTCGCATAACTGGTATTGCCACAAACCCAGGTGAAAAAGCAATTAGAAAAACCTGGTTTTGGGTGATGAGCATAGTCAAATTCTTGACTTATTCAATTTTCTATGTTTTTCCAGGTAAACAGATTAAATATTGAAATAAGCCGCATTCGGGACCTCATAGAATCCAAAGTATTGTGTATGGACCAGACTTTTTTCAATTTTCTGTGATTTACATAACACTAGTTATAATTTAATGGTCAACCAGTATTGTTCAAGACATATTTTCCTTCCAGAAACCTTTTCAAAATACTAACCCAAACATATCAAAAATAGTGTACATTTACAAGGGCAATTTCAACCCTCTGGCACATTTTTCCCATGAATGATTTCAATTCTAATAAAAAGACTATAGATAAAACTTTGATTTGAAGCTAGTTTCAAGTGATGAGCATACCCTAATTTTTAAGCTATACCTCAAAGAAGATGGGCCATTTCAACATAAACATTGAAATATGGGTATACTGACAGCTCTTTCACACGTGTAGTTTGACATTAGCAGCCCTTCTGAAACATTTTAATGAAACTATAATTCACAAAATTCACATTTTCACTTACTTCTTAACATCTGTTTTAATCCAACAAGCTCTGTAGGCACACAGTTTCTAGAGTCTATAAACTGTGGTAGGCACGAGCGAAATTTAGTGTTGATGTAAATATCCATTTAGTTCACGTTACCCGGTGAAAATATAGTCTATTCCAACGCTGATTTCGACGTACTTTAGCTTTTCAGAAACCGTTGGCCTTCTTCAGTGAGATTATGAACTGTTTCACAAACATATTTGATAGTAAACAGCTAAAATATTCTCCGAAATTCTATATTTTTGCTCTTCGACGCGAAAATGGCAACTCAAGAAGAAATGAGCCGCTATTTTTGGTCAGCGTCGACAAATTGCCCACCTGTTTAGGTGAAAGCTATTTCATTCTCGTACCCAGAGCCCTTCTTACGCGCGGTCAACAGACCGCGACGAGGGACTCTGGCCAAATCCATATCAAACTGGCTTCTGATTGGCAACAACTAAATATATGGTTTATTGTATAAAATATGAATAAAAATCAAGCGCTACATGAAGCGTTGGTTTCGTTTTGGAGAAAATTGGGAGAAAAGACATTATTAAAGTTAAAAGAACAGCAGTACGAAGCAGTTAGGAAGATTGTTGTTGATAATCGCCCACAAAAGCGGTAGATGTCCCTAATTTTATTTATTTAAATCAATAGTTGATTGAAATTAATAGGTTGAGACGTGATGTTCTCATAGCAAAAAGTCAGCATATTTATGGCAGATGCTCGTCGTATTTCCAAATCAGTGATGTTAATCAAACCAATCTGTGTTACATGTTCAAAGCTGAAGTGCCATCTGAAAAGAAAATATTAAAGCCAGCCAGAATACGAAGTTAATTGTGATGACTATTTTCTTCCTAGAAACCGATTTTTTACAATTTTCAAATGATTTGCAGTATAGTATGTCTTATGTATGACTGTTGACTTATAATAAAACACAAAAAAGTCTAAAAATCTGTACAACAGCGACTTAAAATCGAATATAAAATAGTGAGACAATCTCTCGTCTTCGTATCCATAGCCATCACTGCTTTGGCAACGTTTAAGAGGGAAATATATACTAAATTTTTATCAACATGCATTGAGAACATCACGTCTTACCTACTAATTGATTTAAATAAATAAAATTAGCGAAACCTACCGCTTTTGTAGGGTTTACCTGGAGAAAAAATTTCAAAACGAAACAAACAAACAAACAAACAAGAAAACCGAAGTGTTTATCCGCGTTTGACGTTGAGCATGCGCAGTGTTTAACCGGATACCATGTTTTTATGGTATCCGGTTATGGATCTGGCCAGAACCCCTCGTCGCGCTCGGTCGAACGCGCGTAAGAGGGGCTCTGGGTACGAGAATGGACGGGGGGCTCTGGCCAAATCCATAACCGGATACCATAAAAACATGGTATCCGGTTAAACACTGCGCATGCTCAACGTCAAACGCGGATAAACACTTCGGTTTTCTTGTTTGTTTCGTTTTGAAAGTTTTTCTGCAGGAAAACCCCACAAAAGCGGTAGGTTTCGCTAATTTTATTTATTTAAACCAATTAGTAGGTAAGACGTGATGTTCTCAATGCATGTTGATAAAAATTTAGTATATATTTCCCTCTTAAACGTTGCCAAAGCAGTAATGGCTACGGATACGAAGACGAGAGATTGTCTCACTATTTTATATTCGATTTTAAGTCGCTGTTGTACAGATTTTTAGACTTTTTTTAGACTCATATTTTATACAATAAACCATATATTTAGTTCTGGCCAATCAGAAGCCAGTTTGATATGGATTTCGCCAGAGCCCCTCGTCGTGCTCGGTCGAACGCGCGTAAGAAGGGCTCTGGGTACGAGAATGAGGTTTTTTCTGATACACGGTAGAGCACCTACAATCACTTTCAAAAGTTGTTGGGACACATGCAGTTTTAAGACGTAAATCAATCTATACAGTTTGTCACACACAATACCGCCCCCCTCCCCCTCCCCCCTCCCCAATCAATGTTGTTTTCTCGATTCGAATACCAATACTCATCAAACTTGACGAACAATGGCACACAACATTGAATAGGGGGCGGGGGGGATCGACATTTGTTAAAATTAAAGTGTTTTGTTGCATCTGTCCCAACACATTTGAAACTGATTGTCTGAACCCCATATCCCATAACATTTAACATATCTCAAAAATATAGGTAACAGAATGGTCCAAGAATTTTGTATTTTAGCTCCATTTTAAAGCATAAGATATGTAATATAACATTTTAAAACAATGACGCTTCTTTGCAATTCAGAAAGTTAATAATTAACAGAATATGAATATATATTTTATTTCATATGTCATTTTTAATCACAAATATTTTATGTGTTGTTTGTTTTTACAAATCTTGCTAGAGTACAAGTGGGTTATTTGAGATGTTCTAATCTGTCAATAAAGACAGGTATCGCAACTGTTTTACGTTAGATATATCATACTTAGTGTTAGTTTACAGCATAGTAATATAGCATCCGGTTATTATTCGCAGGCGAGCAATGGCTGAGTCAACAGCTAACTCGGGTACCCCAAAGCTAAGGAGCGTTTATTTAATCACTTTTAGTCAATGTGACAGTTCACATCTTTCGCGAGCAGAATTTGCAAATATAATTGTTGACGCATGGCATTCGCGCTCCAGATCAAGGATCTGTCAGTGGGTGGTGAGTTTGGAGGCCCATGAAAATGGTGGTAGTCACTTCCACATGGCTATAAAATTGACGGCAACATCGAGGTGGCGAGCCATCCGAAAGTTAGTAGATACTAAATATGGCATCAAGTTGAACTTTTCGGATAGTCACGAAAATTATTATACAGCGTATTCGTACGTGGTAAAGGAAGACCCGGACTTCGTGCTTTCTCCAGGGCATCCAGACCTCTCCAATGCTGACCCGCCACCCACTACAAAGGCGACATCACAAAGAAAGAAAGCAGCAAAGGTTTCGAAAAAAAAGAAACGAAAGCGACTCGCCGTGTACGACGTTGTACGTATCGTACAAACAAAACAAATACAGTCTCGTCTGGAGCTTATGGCCCTGGCTGCGAAATGGCAAGAAGAGGGAAAAACAGACCTGGCAGAGTTCGTTGCCAACAGAGGTCCTAAAATTGTGAATGAGGCTATGGAAACAGCCAAGGAGCTAAACGAAGCGCAGGAAAGACTGAAAAGAGCAAACAAAACAAGAATTGAGTTATTGGAAGAGAGTGCGGCAAGCGCATGTGTTGATGGTTGCCAAGGGGAGTGGTTATCAGCTGCCAAAGAAATTTTAGTTTTAAATGGCATCGGTATACAAGATTTTTCATCTGCTCTTCATGATGCTTTAAAACGCGGCAGAGGAAAATACCGTAACGTATACATATATGGCCCTGCAAATTGTGGCAAAACCTTCCTTCTGTCTCCACTCAAAAAGATCTTCGAATGCTTCATGAACCCGGCATCCGGAACTTTCGCGTGGCTTGGAATTGAGAACGCAGAGGTAGTCTTGTTAAACGACTTCCGCTGGAAGCCTTCACTAATACCCTGGTGTGAGTTGCTGCAAGTACTCGAGGGCGATATTGTTCATTTCCCTGCACCCAAAAATGTGATGAACAAGGACATTGTCCTAGATAAAGATACACCGTTCTTTGCAACAAGCGATGCCCCACTTGCACTTATCAAGGGTGGCTCGATTGACCGGATTAACACCGAAATGATGCAAGTTAGATGGCACACCTTTCAGTTGCATCGGCAAATACCACAAAACGAACAGAAGGAGATTAAAGCATGTAATTCATGTTTTGCGAAACTTATCATAAACAACACTGCTCATTAACTTAGGACAACACAATGTTAGCGATATGCGCTAGACGGCAATTATGCTAATACGCTTTTCCGGATCAGACTATTGCAATCCAACTACCATCGGTTGACACATCGATTGTCACTTTAGAAATATGAAATAACAAGCAAATAAAAAAGCTTTTAAAACAGACTAAGGCTGAGAATAATATGTTGACAATGTATAACATTGTGTTAGCTAGTTCTTAAATGGTTTAATTATATATTAAAGTGAGGAAACCCAGTTTTGGATCGATTGTCACTTTTTATATAAATATATTTGACTATCATATAGTGATTTCTAGAGTTGAGTGTCAATCGATAACTTTTTACAATTTTTATATATTTTGTGATTAAGTAGAACCCGTAATATACTAATACATGCTCCCTCGACACTTTTCCTTAATAATAAATGTTCCAAAAATTATTTTGCTGTAAAATGTTAAAGCTAAATCATTGCAAATGGTCTGTGAATAAAGTGACAATCGCGTGTCAGTCGAGCACATGTTCAAAGCGTCTTATATTACATATATATATATATATATATTCATTATATCATATCGTCAATACTTTGTTCTGAATCCTTTACATTTAATCACATCATCAATGCGTTTGGGCATGCTTAATAAAAGATTGTTAATATAAGTAGGTGGTATTTTGAGTATAGTTTTACGCACTCTTGCTTTAAATTCAGGCCACGTTTCTTGATATATGCACTCCGAGATAGCTTGACTCTCGAGCTGCTTTTTCACTATGTGGAA